TGGGATTGGTTGCCAAGTTTAGGGTGTGAAATGTTGGAAAAAAAAATTGCCAACATGCTGCAATGCAAGAAAAAAATTCCTTTAACAATGAACTGCAGAAAAAAAAAAACCCCAGAAAAGGGCTAAATATTTTGTCTATCTATAATTACCCTATTCCTTGCTCCTGTAAACTTCAGGACTGTTTCCCCCCCCAAAAGCCTGTTGGTCATCATATACAACACAGGACTGGCTGTTCTGATATGTAAGGCCCCATTCATAGCTGGCATTTTGGGATTTGTCCAGAATTTCTGCTATACTGCCTGCGATCCCAAATTACACTGCAATAGTGGTAAAACATATAATTGGGTGCCATCCAATTTTAATGGCACCTAAACACTGTCAGGTTTTGCAGCAATAAATCACAAAGCAAAAGGGGCAAAACCACCCCGTGGTTAGGTGTTACTAAAAATGAATGGCATCAGAACATGTGTGATCGCAGGCAGAATCATAATGATTCTGTCTGAGATCCCAAACCTCCAGATATGAATGGGGCCTTACAATGCGGAATTGCCAGTCCTGCATTGCATGCGAGGACTTCAAAGTGCCTGCAACTGACAACGTGGCTTCTGGGGTACCCGTCCTGCAGCTTACAAGGGCAAGTAATAAAGCAGGTATAGATGGACAAAATTAACGTTTAACCCTTGCAGTGATGGGAAGCTCCTCTGCAAGTTTTTTTTTTTTGGCTCTGCAGTTTAATGTTAAAGAAAAATGTTTATTTTTGTATTTTTCACCCTAAACTTGGCAATCATTCCCCACAAAAGCTGAATAGGGACTAAGTGGGGATGCAAGGGCCTGCCCACAGCCTAGAGCTTATGATACCCACTTTGTCCCAGGGGTTCAAGTTTAACATACTTGTTAACCTATATGCTCATCACTAGTAAATACCTTATACATAAAGATATACACATTGAGAGACTATTTAAAGCGGAGTTCCACTCAAAAGCGGAAGCCTCGCTTATTTGCCTCCCTCCCTCACAATATTTGGCACCTTTTGGAGGGGAGTGGGTACCCGGTTTTGACAGGTACCCACTCCCATTTGTGGTTCAGTCTGCCGCAGCGAAGTGAGCCGGAAGTTCGGCCTTCCTCTTTGCTCCCAGTCTCCTGGGAACGTTCACAGATCCTAGGAGACTGCCGGACCAATCAGGAAGCACGGCGCGACTCGAGCATGCGCAGTGGGCACCAGGCTGTGAAGCTACAAGATGTCACAGCCTGATGCCCACAGTAGAGATGCCGGTGCTGTGGAGGACAGGAGAGAAGAGAAAGCGTGAGTGAATACATCACTGGACCCTGGGACAGGTGTATTAAAATTCGGCAGCTACAGTTTTTGTAGCTGCCGACTTTTAATAAACACAAACGGCTGGAACTCCGCTTTAAGATCACTATGCATCCGTTACAGTCTGATAGCACAACCTCCTTTAGATCCAACAACAATGAAGTGCAAAGGCATGCCTGATTGGACCAAAAGTCTTTGGAAAGATTAGGTACAGTAGGTCCTCATACTACATAGTTTTCATAAACACAACACACTTTGCTTCCACAAGGAAGCCAACTATACATACTAAATGATGTATATATATATATATATATATATATATATATATACACACACACACACACACACACACCACAATTTCAATAAAATTAGATCACTTAATTTTCTTCTTTGTCTTGCTTGACAATATATGGGGCTCATTCACATAGCCGCTCCAGGCTGTACACCACCCAGATCAGCATTCCTCTTCAATGTGTACCAGATGTTTGCAATCAGCTGTCAGCAGGAAGCCTGTACAAATCAATGACATGCTGAGAGGGTCTGCATGGATTCACACTTTGAGTGATTACCTGTGGTTAGGGACTGATGAGCAGCTCTGGAATGCAGTTTATGTACAAGGCCGCTCATCTCTCCTTATACATGTGAACAGCCGTAGAAGGTCTCTCAGCCTGTCGTTGATTTGTACATGCTTCTCGTCTGCAGCAGATCATAAACCCTTGGCCGTACCCACTATAGGAATCTGCTGATCTGAGCTTGTGTATGGCCAGGAACAGCTGTGTAAATGAGCCTCTAGTGTGAAGATGTACAGACATTCAGATAAACAGTCAACAAAAAAAAAGAAAAAAAAAAAAAAAAAAGATGCATGTAGCACAAAGTGCTTAATCATTGATATGCGACAAGGTTTGTTCTTTGATGTCTGTTTATCTGTGCATGTCTGTCATCTTCTCAATAAATATACTGATTAAGCAAAACACACAGGAAAGTGTTTAATGGAATCCTTTAAATAATTCAAGGTGGGTGAATAAGGTTCTAGAGGGCACTATTTTCGATACGAAGGCAAGGTCAAGAACACGGGGACATGACCTCAAACTAACTGAAGGAAAGTTTAAAACTAACCCTTAGAAATTTGTTCACTGAAAGAGTAGGTGATGTTGGACTAGCATTCCAGCAGAGGTAGTGAGTCAGTTAACAATACGTGGAGTCAAACATAGATCAGTATGCAGATATAAAAAAAAAAAAAAAAAAAAGGATAGATCGATTGATTAGACTTGATGGACCACTTGGTTTTTATTGTGTGGCATTACAACCTTGGGCACCCTGCAGGACAGGAGGAGCCTGCCCAGCATCCTTGTTGTGCCCTTCCCTTGTCAGCACCGGGCTCATTAGCAGAGAGAAGAGAAATGCTGGAATGCTAGTTGGTACCAACATGCAAAGGTGTATTTGCTTTGTAAGAATAAGAGCCTAGTTGCACCACATATCATGGCAAAATGCTTCGTCTCCAGTGTGCCCAGATCCCAGCACTGCATTGTGGTGGTGTGCAGGCAGTGAGTGCTGAGCAAACATATTGCGTGCAGGGTTTTTTCAGTGCAGTGCAAGGTGGTGGATTGTAGCTAGCAATAAAATGTTTGTGGCATTTCAATAAAGTTCATAAAACGAAAAAAAAAAAAAGCTGCTGCAATCCTGCCAGACCACACACTAAACCCCCTCCAATGTTGGGTGTCCTGTGTGGGTGTTCCTAAATGAGAATCTCCAGATTGTGCATCATTTTAAAAGGGGGCCACGACTGGAAGAAAAAAAAAAAAAAAAAAAAAGGCGGAGGAGCGGAAAGGGCTAAAAAAAAAACAAGGCGGAGGGGAAAGGGCTAAAAAACAAGGCGGAGGAGCGGAAAGGGCTATAAAACAAGGAGGAGGAGAGAAAGGGCTAAAAAACAAGGCGGAGGGGAAAGGGCTAAAAAACAAGGCGGAGGGGAAAGGGCTAAAAACGACTGGAGGAGAGGAAAGGGCTAAAAACGTCTGGAGGAGAGGAAAGGGCTAAAAACGTCTGGAGGAGAGGAAAGGGCTAAAAACGTCTGGAGGAGAGGAAAGGGCTAAAAAACGTCTGGAGGAGAGGAAAGGGCTAAAAACGTCTGGAGGAGAGGAAAGGGCTAAAAACGTCTGGAGGAGAGGAAAGGGCTAAAAAACGTCTGGAGGAGAGGAAAGGACTGAAAAAAAGACCTTCTGGAGGAGAGGAAAGGACTGAAAAACTTCTGGAGAGAGGAAAGGACTGAAAACTTCTGGAAAGAGAGGAAAGGACTGAAAACTTCTGGAGAGAGAGGAAAGGACTAAACACTTCTGGAGGAGAGGGGACTGAAAACTTCTGGAGGAGAGGAAAGGACTGAAAACTTCTGGAGAGGGAAAGGACTAAAAACTTCTGGAGGAGAGGAAAGGACTGAAAACTTCTGGAGAGAGGAAAGGACTGAAAACTTCTGGAAGAGAGGAAAGGACTAAAAACTTCTGGAAGAGAGGAAAGGACTAAAAACTTCTGGAAGAGAGGAAAGGACTAAAAACTTCTGGAGAAGAGAGGAAAGGACTAAAAACTTCTGGAGAAGAGAGAAAGGACTGAAAACTTCTGGAAGAGAGGAAAGGACTAAAAACTTCTGGAAGAGAGGAAAGGACTAAAAACTTCTGGAGAGAGGAAAGGACTGAAAACTTCTGGAAGAGAGGAAAGGACTAAAAACTTCTGGAGAAGAGGAAAGGACTGAACACTTCTGGAGGAGAGGAAAGGACTGAACACTTCTGGAAGAGAGGAAAGGACTGAAAAATTCTGGAAGAGAGGAAAGGACTGAAAATTTCTGGAAGAGAGGAAAGGACTAAACAAAAAAAAAAACACGCTGGAGGAGAGGAAAAGAGCGAAGAGTGGAGGAAAGGAGCGAAGAGTGGAGGAAAGTCTGCCATGCTGCCACACCTCTGAGCATGTCCTAATAACAGACCATGCCATTCCAATGTATGAGGAGACTTGTGCTGGAACATGTCATTCCCAGGCAGCCTGTAGGCACTGATTTGGTGATAGAGAACAAGACAAGTACTGGCCACAGGAAGCGCACAGGTATCGCCTCTATATACCGTCACGTCTACACTCGGAGAACTTCTAGTAAACAAGAACAGAACACGCGAGGCCCGCCAGCTGACACTTACCCGCTGAATGTTCTCATGCACAGCGGACTGTCCGTCCAGATTCGGCCCCAGGCAGATGAGGACGTGGTTGGGAGTGGCCACTACTTCCGGTTCTCGCTCACCAGCAGCACCAGGCACACAGAGGGGAGACACAATCCTTCCACGGCCAGAGCTCAGCCGAGACTGACTGCTCCGCCACACACCCACTACGTAACACACGGCTCAGCCAATCACAGCGCAAAGGGGCGGGATACGAACTTGACGGCGGGCTCTTTGCTCAGACAGGAGGCGGCTGTATATGTATATGCTTTATTTATACAGTACAAAACACTGATAATATACATCAGATCGTACAGGACAGTCCGTTCAATCACAATGCACGCTCCGTGCCCTGCCGCCTTCAGCTCCCAGTACAGATCTCTATACACCCGGTTCCCCAGTACAGATCCCTTCGGTTCCCCAGTACAGATCCCGCTTCGGTTCTCCAGTACAGATCCCTATACAGTCGGATCTTCCACTCCATTCTGGGATGTTCGTTAAATTTTCACTACTTGAGCGGATATACAGGGAGACTTCCTGATCTCTGTGTTCTCTCTCTTCACTAAGAAGCGGGCATATGTTCCTCCTACCAGTCCTTTCGTCAGGCGCCCAGGATTGATACAGATGCTGCCTGAGATGTCCTATAGAAAAGCAGTAACATATTTAATAAATTACAGCTATAGACCCATCAGGGGAAAAAAAACAGTTCTACAATCGCCTAGGCCTATGCCAGCCATAAACGGATTACAATTGGTCTGATTCAGTAGGGACTGACCAAATATCTATCCATGTATAGCCTAACTGACTGTACACAAGTCAATCTATTAATCAACTTGTGGACAACCAGCCCGGGATTTTCCTGACCAATCTGTACCTCCAGCACTGATCATTGTATTCTGTGGAATACAACACCACAGTGGGAGTGATACCTCAACCACACTGAATGTGTGAATGGGGGATTTTTTTTCCTCGTTTTTTTTATTCAACTCACTGGTTGGAAAATAAGAGCAAAGATGAGGCTGGCCATACATGATTCTTTATTAACACCATATTTACCTCAAAGCAAACATTTAATATATTGCAGCTTCCCACTTTAATGTGATGGCTGCATTAGTTTCCTTTTTTTTTCAGGGCTCATGCACTCTGGCATCTGGGGAAAAAAAACACCCTCTGACCACCAGAACTGCTGGCAGGAAAATGCAGCATAAAAAAAACAAAACAAAAAAAAAAAACCCGCAAAAATCCATGTATTGCAAACACATTTAAGTGTGTTTATGCATGTATAGCATTTGAGAATAAATGCATATTCAGCTATTCTGGCCATTCGAATGTATTTACATGCATAGCATTTTGGTGCGTTTTTTCTGCTGAAACACTCTCCTCAAGAATGCACCTTTGGTTTTTCTTAGCCTGTGTGTATGAGCCCTTCTTTTCACCTGGTGATCCAGCCAGTAGGTCTGTTTTTCAACAGAACAATCTATCTTGCAGCTGTACCAGTTAAAGTGTTGAGACAAACCATTTACCACAGACAGGGATGCTTATAATGATCAGTTTCTATTTATGTAAAACCTTTATCTCAAAAGGGAAAAACTGTTTGCTGTAATTACTTATAAGTTTTAGCTGGAGTTTTGCTTCAATTTGTTGGTATATTTAAATCTGCTAGTCCATCTGACACTTCACTCCCTGTTCAGACTAACAATGCTGCTGTCCAAAGGAGTCTCTATTGCTCATTCATCCAGAATGAGGGCAATCTAAATCAGGAGGATGTGTTACTAGCCAGATCATCTAGTGAAAAGGGAAAAATCCTAAAAAAAAAAAAGCTAATGCAGGCACCCCATCTATTGATTGTTAAGCTGCAATATATTATGTTTTTGAGTCTAATGCCACTTTAAAGCCTTATGTACACAGCCATATGAGGTAATACAATGTAAACTGCGGACATACAGTGTGAAAATAATTTTGTAAGTTTGCCCACTTACAAAGAAATGAAGGTTCTATAATTTTTTTTATCATAGGTGTATTTTAAATGAGACAGAATATCAACCACAAATCCAGAAAGAACACGATACAAATGTTATAAATTGAGTTGCAGTTCAGTGAGTAATATAAGTACTTGATCCCCTACCATCAATAATTCTGGCTCCCACAAACTGGCTATGTGCTCATGTGGTACACAGATTAGTCCCGTCAATTTAAGAAGGTGCTCCTAATGACAACTTGTTATGTCTACAAGACACCTGTTCCCAGAATCTCTTTCTTGGTCCGCATCATGAGCAAGACCAAAGAGCTGTCAATGGACGTCAGGGACAAGATTGTAGACCTGCACAAGGCTGGAATGGGTTACAAGACCATCAGCAAGAATCTTGGTGAGAAGTAGAAAACTGTTGGAGCGATTATTTGTAAAATAGAAGAAATACAAAATAACCATCAATAGCCCTCACCTCATGAGGCGAAATCTTGCATGGAGCTCCAGACTAAGGATGATAATAAAAAAAGTGAGAATCAGCCCAGAACTACACAAGGAACTTGTGAATGATCTCAAGGCAGTTGGGCCCACAGTCGCCAAACAAACCATTGGTAACACAGTATGCCGCCATGGATTTAAATCCTGCAGCGCCTGCAAGGTCCCCCTCCTCAAGAGCGCACATGTACAGGCCCATCTGAAGTTTGCCAATTACCATCTAAATGATTGGAAAGGATTGGGAGAAAGTGCTGTGGTCAGATGAGACCAAAATTGAGCTCTTTGGCATTAACACGACTCGCCATGCTTAGAGGAAGAATAATGCTGATTATGACCCCAAGAACACCATCCCTACAGTCAAGCACAGAGATGAAAACAATATGCTTTGGGACTGTTTCTCTGCTTAAAAAGGTACAGGCCGACTTTTGCACATTGAGGAGTCAATGGCCGGGGTCATATATTGTAAAATCGTGGATGAGAGCCTTCTTCCCTCAGCCTGAAACACTGAAGATAAGTTGTGAATGGGTCTTCCACCATGACAATGACCCAAAATATACTGCCAAGGCAACAAAAGCAGTGGCTCAAGAAGAAGCCCATTAAGGTCATGGAGTGGCCTAGCCAGTCTTCAGACCTTAACCCTATAGAAAATCAATAGAGGGAGCTGAAACTTCGAGTTGCCAAGAAACTAAGTATTTTAGAGAAGATCTGTAAAGAAGAGTGGACCAAAATCCCTTCTGAGATGTGTGCAAACCTGGTAACCAACTACAAGAAACATCTTACCTCTGTGCTTGCTGACAAGTGTTTCTCCACCAAGTACAAAGTCATGATTTGCTTGGGGATCAAATACTTATTTTACTCCCTGAACTACAACTCAATTTATACCATTTGTAAAATGTGTTTTTTCTGGATTTTTGGTTGATATTCTGTCTTCATCATTTAAAATACACCTATGATAAAAATGATAGATTTTTCATTTCTTTGTAAGTGGGCAAACTGAAAATACAGTGGGGAAAATATAGATTTGATCCCCTGCAGATTTTGTATATCCCAGGAGACAGCTGTAGCATTCAGCCACCCATAGTAACGAATGAATGGATGCATGTTTACATCATGCTTATATTAATATATGCACAGGCATAAGTCCCTGGGCACACACAAGCTGAGTTCAAAAATGTAAACCCATGTGCTCGTTTACGCAAGCTTGACGTATACCTGTCCCCAGCCATTATTACAGTGCCTTGAAAAAGTATTTATACCCCTTGAAATTTTCCACATTTGTCATGTTACAACCAAAAACGTAAATGTATTTTATTGAGATTTTATCTGATAGAACAACACAAAGTGGCACATAATTGTGAATTGGAAAGAAAATGATAAATGGTTTTCAATGTTTATACAAATAAATATGTGAAAAAAGTGTGGTGTGCATTTGTATTCAGCCCCCCGAGTCAATACTTTTTAGAACCACCTTGCAATTACCTTACAAACATACTGCAGCCATATGTAAATTAAAAGTCATGTGTGTTGTTATATATATATATATATATACACACACACACATACACACATACATACACATATATACACACACACACACACTATTTTTTTTTTAATTCCTGGTTTTCCACAGCGTTAGTGATGGGGTCATGGCCTCTGGTGATTACAAAGATATCAATCCATCAGAGGACCACGGCACTAATCTCTACTCTGCATGAGCCAGCAGCAACATTCATGAAAGCTTATTTAATTGTGCGATGTCCCTTAAGTGGAACTATGACTTCCACAATGCATCGTGGTAACTATTACAGTGTAGTATTAGGCACAACGCGGACTGCATGCCTAATGCAATAGATGCAGAGCAGCAGTCCCAATGTAGATGTGGGTGAAGTCAGACCTGAACTAAAGGGAGAAACAATGGCACTGGGAAAGGCAGCTACTTCATATGTGGTTTCTGAACGAAACAGCAATGAGGATGGGGGCTTCAGGGGAGAATATTCAGAAAGGCTGCAAGAGGGTAGCCACCCTACTACAGGAACTTGCTGTCAATGTCTCCGATCATAGCTCACAGAATCAACAGGTACTTTTATTAAAAGAACATACAGTGGATATAAAAAGTTATACACCCCTGTTAAAATGTCAGGTTTCTTTGATGTAAAAAAAAAAATTAGACAGATAAATAATTTCAGAACTTTTTCCACCTTTATTGTGACCTATAAACGGTACAACTCAATTGAAGAACAAACCAGGGGCGGACTGACCATTCGAAAACTCGGGCACTGCCCGAGGGACCGGGGTCAGTAGGGGGCCCCATGAAATGCCCCTGGTACCTTTTTATAGGCTTTTTTTTAGTGTGGGCAAGGTCACAGGGGCCCCATTATCCCCTATTGCTCAGGGGCCCCATGAGTTGTCAGTCCGCCCCTGGAACAAACTGAAATCTTTTTTGGGGGGGAGCAAACATAAAAAACTAAAATAATGTGGTTGCATAAGTGTGCACACCCTCTTATAACTGGGGATGTAGCTGTGTTCAGAATTAAGCAATCACATTCAAAATCAAGTTAAATAGGTGTCAGTACACACCTGCCATCATTTAAAGTGCCTCTGATTAACCCAAAAAAAGTTCAGCTGTTCTAGTAGGTCTTTCCTGACATTTTTTTAGTCGCATCCCACAGCAAAAGCCATCGTCCGCAAAGAGCTTCCAAAGCATCAGAGGGATCTCATTGTTAAAAGGTATCAGTCAGGAGAAGGGAACAAAAGAATTTCCAAGGCATTAGATATACCGCAGAACACAGTGAAGACAGTTGTCAAATGGAGAAAATATGGCGCAAACGTGACATTACCAAGAACTGGCTGTCCCTACAAAATCGATGAAAAGACGAGAAGAAAACTGGTCTGAGAAGCAGCCAAGAGGCCTACGGCCACATTAAAAGAGCTGCAGGAATAGCTGGCAAGTACTGGCTGTGTGGTACATGTGACAACAATCTCCCGTATTCTTCATGTCTGGGCTATGGGGTAGAGTGGCAAGACAAAAGCCTTTTCTTATGAAGAAAAACATCCAAGCCCAGCTAAATTTTGCAAAAACAGATCTGAAGTCTCCCAAAAGCATGTGGGAAAATGTGTTATGGTCTGATGAAACCAAGGTTGAACTTTTTGGCCATAATTCTAAAAGATATGTTTGGCGGAAAAACAACACTGCACATCACCATATGAACACCATACCCACAGTGAAGCATAATGGTGGCAGCGTCATGCTTTGGGGCTGTTTTTCTTCAGCTGGAACTGGGGCCTTAGTCAAGGTAGAGGGAATTATGAACAGTTCCAAATACCAGTCAATATTGGCACAAAACCTTCAGGTTTCTGATGGAAAGCTGAACATGAAGAGGAACTTCATCTTTCAGCATGACAACGACCCAAAGCATACATCCAAATCAACAAAGGAATGGCTCCACCAGAAGAAGATTAAAGTTTTGGAATGGCCCAGCCATAGCACAGACCTGAATCCCATTGAAAATCTGTGGGGTGATCTGAAGAGGGCTGTGCACAGGACATGCCCTTGCAATCTGACAGATTTGGAGTGTTTTTACAAGGAAGAGTGGGCAAATATTGCCAAGTCAAGATGTGCCATGCTGATAGACTCATATCCCAAAAGACTGAGTGCTATAATTAATTCAAAAGGTGCTTCAATAAAGTATTAGTTTAAGGGTGTGCACACTTATGCAACCATATTTTAGTTTTTTATTTTTACTTCCCTTCACCTAAAAGATTTCAGTTTGTTTTCAATTGAGTTGTACAGTTTATGGATCACATTAAAAAGGTGGAAAAAGTTCTGAAATAATTTTTCTCTGTCTCATTTTTTTACATCACAGAAACCTGACATTTTACAGGGGTGTGTAGACATTTTATATCCACTGTAAGTACTACGGATGAGTATATGCTTTAGACTAGTGGCTCTCAACCACCGGGTTGCAGTCTCCCTGCCCCCTAAACTCCTATAGTGGTCCACTGTGCCCCTCACCTCTCACAGTGCCCCAGGTCCATAGAGAGCCCTCCGCCCCCTCACGGTTACCCAAGCTCACATAGTACCCCCTAGATGCTGCAGAGCCTGGACGGTTTTGGAAGAATTTACTGGGCCCTGGTCTCAAATAAGGTTGAGAACCACTGCTCTAGACTATTTAGAAAAGTGATTATACTGTACATATTACATATACTTCTTTCACATTTGTGTACGTTTTTCAAAAGAGAACTCCACCATCTATCAAAATTGAAATGGCAGATTTGATTGGATATGAATCAATTACCAAAATGGAAATCACTGCTTTTGGCAGCTTATCTATCCAGAAAAACATACAACATAAATTGGCTAAAACTGAAAAGCTGCAGCAAACCTTGATGAAAAAGCGAAGCTCCGATGGTACAATAAAGACATCTGGAGTGACTGGCATTATAGCAAAACTATACATTGCTTCAAAATCAATATTTATCTCTTCATTTGGTGGGTATAATGGGTAGTAACTAGGAAACAAAACATTTGATTAAATAAACATGGTATACTTTGATCAAAATAACATTACTATAAATTCAGAGTAAACAAACATTAAAGTCAGTGTTCCACAGTACTGGATTTGTTCCTAAACATGCAGTAAAATCTACCTATTGTACCTTATCCAGCATCTATTAATATTTGCATATGTACAATAGGATATCTAATTTCATTACCATTACTTATCTAACTAAACAGACAATTGTAATTGAACTGAACAACTGAATGAATAACAATTACCATCTGTGTCTGAGTAGTTGCATTGTTTTCTTTTGAAGTTAACCTATGGTGTCTACTTCCACAGTCTATATTCTTAATTAGAAGAATTTGTTTTGCCCTCTATTATGTTAATTACTGGAATCCAGTTCTCACCTAACACATGATCCAGTTGCAGTTGGTCTGTGAATGTCCGGCAGCCACAGACTGCAATCATAAAACAGGAGATGGGCGCAAGAGCTAATGGATTGGCAGAAACAGGCCTAAATTGTACATCAGGTGAGCTGAGGACTTATCGCAGCCAAGTATTTAGCTCAAGAGAAAGTTTAGGCCTCCTTAAAGCGGAATTCTGGCTTACACCTAACTAGCCTTAAAACTGTCCTCTACTAACACCTATGGTAACTAATTAATAAAAATGTGCAGTGTACATCCACTTATTTTCAGGCTGCTCTTGCCTGGTCACATGTTCTTCCCTGTGTCAGCCAGGGGCAGCTGCAAGGCAGAGGAGAGAGTGGTCTGACAACAGCTAATAAAAGCGTGGAGCGGTGATGTCACCCATGCGCTTAAATGACCCATCTGTTGTCGGCGCTCCCTCCTCTCCACTGCAGCCGTGCTGGCTTACACAGGGAAGCCAGATCATGTGACCAAACTGGCGTGGCCTGAAAATAGGTGAGTATATGATATTTCTTACACAGGTTAGTTAGCATAGGTGTTAGGGGGAGGGAGGGGACAGTTTTAAGGCTAGTTACTGTAGTTGTAAGCTACAATTTCCCTCTAAAGTAAACCTGTCATGAAAGAAACATGAAGGCTGCTGCTGTTTTCTATGTTTAGTTTCCTTCTACAAATTCTAGTTGTTTGGCTGTTGTGCTGAACCTTTTGCTTCAAAGGTTGGGAGTATGCAGATTAGGAGTTCTGTATTTCCTGACCTGACTTGTCCTGACTCATTAATGAAGCCAGTGGACTGACATAACAACCAGGCATCTAGCATTTTCAGAAGGTAGATTGCTATGGCAGCCCCCATATTTCTCCTAAGACAGGTTTATTTTAAGCTCCTGCACGTGATCACAGGTTGCAGGAAAGAGACTCGCTCAATTCCCCCATCAACACAGACAGTGTTGACAGGGGAATCCCTGTCTATGGCTGGCTTAATGGTAGAGAGCTGACCTTGCAAGTATATGGATTGCCCTTTACATGCGATTTGGATCTGCACAGAGCCCTTTTAAGTTGTGTTTACTTCCAAAGAAAACATTCACTTATAATGCACATTGAGGAAACTTTCACTAAAACATACAAGCAGCACTGGCCAAAAATCTTCCCACCCTGCCCCCGATTGTAACACTCAGGCAAGGATCATGACTATGAGGGGTATTTCTAAGAAGTGATAAGGGGCACTTCAGATGCTAGAAGTACTTGCTATTGTACAGACGTGCTGGAAAGTCTCCTGTGATCACGCGGCTGGGAAGAGGGAAGGAAGGATTTAAGTGCAATTGTAAAATTTAAGGCTTTTTTTTTTTTTTAAACAGAACAGTGCTGTGCAAAAGCTAAAATACCGAAGTGTAGTTACATTGAATGATTGAATAATCATATTATTACATGTGTGGTCACTTGTAGGGCTCCTTCACACTTTGAGTTACATTTTTCTGCACACCACCGCACATGTATGATGTGAACAGGGCACATTTAAAAAAAAAAAAAAAAAAAAAAAAAAAAACTGGTTTTCAGGTTCTCTATCAACTATTTAGGACTCTAATTCTAACTCTATTCTGGCCTCTGTGACCAAGTCCCTGATGGGCGGGGCAAAATGCATCAGAGTGTGTGGCTCGAGCGGCAGCTGAAGCCATCCCATACATCTGACTCCTTAGGTTGGTCTGAGCGGTGTCCGTCCCTACACTATCCTGGAATTAAGAAAAACAAACATAGGGCACACCGGCCTACTGCATTACCTTAAAAAATGTATTTATGAAATGATAAAAGTAGGTATTGTACTCACAAAATGACAATACAGTCAAAGGCACACCATGAAAGAACAGCTCTGTCCAAACAGCACTACGCGTCTGTCCGTAATGGGAACTCTGGACCTCCAACTGTCTGATGTGTTTCGAGGAGTTGGCTGTGAGGAAGAGGCAAGTCCTCGAAACGCGTCAGGAAGTTGGAGGTCCAGAGTTCCCATTACGGACAGACACGTAGTGCGAATTGGACAGAGCTGTTCTTTCATGATGTGCCTTTGACTATATTGTCATTTTGTGAGTACAATACCTACTTTTATCATTTAATAAAGACATTTTTTAAGGTAATGCACTAGGCTGGTGCGCCCTCTGTTTGTTTTTCACTACTGAGTATATTTGGACTTCCCCGGTCTTTTGAGTGCAGCAAGGCGTGCATACCCCAAGAAATCCATGATGTGGTCTTATCTATACAGAGTCCATCCCTAAGTACAGGAGTATCTGGGTTTGCCATTTCTTCACTATACTGGAATTATTCTGGAATGCAGCACCCTCCCTTCCTCATGCCAGCGGGGTAACCTTCTTTCACTTCCACCTTGGAACGGCTCTACAAGAATTTCTTGATGAACTATTTGGGACTCATCTGAATTGAGCAAGAAAAAAGGACTCTGAAGTGAATTTTTCCCCTTTCCAATCGCTGTAGACCACCATTATTTGTTAAAGTGCAGATAGTTTTCTTCTTCTAAATATTCCATATGATCCAGTCTCAACTCAAAATTATATTACCCTATGTGCATATACAAGCATTTACCTTCTCTGATTTAGGATATGTCTGAGAATGCGACTGAACCGATCTGGAGCACCAGCTGTACCACTAGAGGTAATTAAAAATATAAACTTATTAGACGTGTATATACGATCATGTAAAAAATGCAATCAACAAGAGACGCATCTCACGTAAGTCAATTCACACTATTCTGCATATAGTATTCTATACAACCAGGACAATTCATAAAGGGCTCCACAAACACCCTTTAGAATTCTGTTGGGCACAGCACTGAAACGGTCAGTGCTTGTGCCTAATTCATATACCTATCACAGGCCACTGTACCACTCACTCCGACAGGCGCGTGGCCAAGAATCTTCCCAACTGGCAGTAGTAACAACTACCTGAATTTGCTGCACATGCCAATAATGTTACCAAACAATGGGGCAAATGCTTGCCTGAATTAGGCACAGGTAGTTCTTAAGGGTACTACCACCAGTAGAGTGCTGTTAGGAAGGATTTGAATTCCCCTGAACGTATTTAACAATGTAAACACATAATCAATATACACCAGACAATACTCATCAGATCTCTTAAATGAGATCTATCATGCAGCAAAACCATCTGAAAAACCTTTGATGAAGGTTTCAATTCCAAAATGCACAAACTCTATAGTGGTCCTATGGGAAGAAACTTCCCTCACAATGAACCCAATGGCTTTAACTTCACTGTTCTGGAAACAATTTACTTCTTTTGAATCGGGGTTCCGAGTCAGGGTTGTTAATCTGTTAGGCCCCTTTAAAGCCGAGTCATATCTTTTGTATTAAATGCAGTATCTATTGGACTGATTGTGCAATATGTGCTGGCAGTGTGTGCACAACTTTGAAATAATTCATTGCTCGTCATATCTAAGGTCACTAAAATATATGCCCACATGTAGTCTTCTCAGTGGAATTATCAACAGTGTCTTCCCACATTTAATGAATCCTGATCAACTATTTAACTAAAAATTGCAAAGGATAAGTTCACCTTTGTAAAAAAGAAATGCACATGTTTTTGCAGGTAAAAAAAAAAAAGTGCATTTATTATTTTTTTTCTTTATTACATTTCAGCCTGAAAGACATTGCACCCATGGTCATCAGAACGCAGGTACAATACCTGGATCCTGCAGACTCTCTCAGTATACGGTCTGCCTGTACATCATGTAGGTAGCCAGTTACTGAATGACAGGAAGGATCAATGAACTACCTAAAGCGCTCACCAGCGCCCTGGTAGTTCATTGAGAATAAGACATTAGCCGCAAAGGCTGATGGTAGTTGTAGTTCTTCCATTCATAGAACTCTGTAAATGAATGAAGCAGCTGGGTGGCTGGAGCCCCGAATGGCAGTTTTTTTTTTTTTAAAACTAGTGACAGCTGGTGCAGGGAGAAGATCCCCAGCTTGCTGTCACAAGGAAGCAGAGGACCAGGGAGAGGCTGCAGGAGTAGGAACATGTTACGTGTTCCACCCGAAAAAATAGGTGGAACATGTAACATGTTCCCAAAGGTGAACTTATCCTTTACCTTGCAATACTTCTTATGGCAACATAACTTCAAAATGGCAGCATTCATTATCAGTTCAACAGGATCTACCTGGTAGGCAGAAGCACAACATATATATGGATACTTTCCATTTATAATCACACAGTTTCCAAGTAGTGCAGCCAACCACATCACAGAAAAGGTATCAACATACATATGTTTATTTAACCTAACAATATGAACACCTGGCATGGCATATTATACAAAAGAAGAACCTTTCAGTGATATACAGATTATATCTAAATGACTTATGCAAATAAATAAGGCACAATGCTTCACCACTCAAACCTTAAAGCAGAGATAGAAAGTGACATTCTACCCTTGAATGCGGGACACATTCTAGGCATTTTTCCCCTAAGTTATATGCAAAATGGCTTTTATGCACTTATAGATTTAAATATTAATTTTTTTATCCAAATATATACATCAACATTCAACACTGATTTCAAGGAAACCTAAAAATTCCCTGCTCCGAGGAGGGTTAACTGCTTGTTTCTGTCTAGAGGACATGGAAAAGCAGATTTAATTTACTTATGATCCTCTTCTCCTGTAGGCTCCTGGATCCTCCATGCAGCTAGACCAGTCCCCCATGGCCTCTTTTCCCCCATGCTCCAGAAGAGTAAGGTCCTCTGACCAGGACCATAGCCCTGCACTGGACGTGAGAAGGCCAACAGAAAGTCCACTACCAGAACATAGAGGGGTGCTATCCACCCAGGGTGCGGAGGATCAGGTTAAGTAACAGTGCCTTTACTGTTCCCTAGACAAAATGAGCAGTTAACCCCTGCAGTGTAGGCACAACCACACTTCAAGGAAGAATAAGCATGATGTTTTTTGGAGTTGGGATTTAAGGCTCCATACACGCTAACTTATTTTTAAGCTCCTAGCAGCTAGTTATGTGCACTTTTTTTTTTTTTTTTGCCCACAGAGGCAAATAGCATTTTAACTCTCATACGACCTTCTAACCGCCAAAGCAAATAGCCACTATTCAGTGCTCCTACTCCTTGACCTCTCTGCGGCCTTCGACACAGTCGACCACCCCCCCCTCCTCAAAAAAACTACACTCCCTCGGCCTCAGAGATTCTGCTCTCTCCTGGCTCTCATCCTACCTGTCACAACGCTCTTTCAGCGTTTCCTATAATGCTACCACCTCCCCCTCACTCCCCCTCTCTGTTGGGGTCCCTCAAGGCTCTGTCCTTGGGCCCCTTCTCTTCTCCATCTACACCTCCTCCCTTGGCCAACTCATACACTCTCACGGCTTCAACTACCACCTCTATGCCGACGACACACAAATGTATCTCTCAACCCCCCACCTCACCCCCTTGGCTCCGCCCGAATCACACACCTGCTGAGCGACATATCAGACTGGATGTCGCTCCACTTCCTTAAACTGAACCTCTCCAAAACCGAGTTTCTGGTCTTCCCCCCAGCCCGGACCTCACCCCCCCCCATTGACTTCTCCATCACATCCAACAACGCCAACATCAAACCCGCCCCGCAGGCCAGAGTACTTGGTGTCATTCTGGACTCCAACCTATCCTTCCAGCCCCAAGTCCAATCTTTAACAAACTCATGCAGACTCCACCTCCGCAACCACGCCAAAATCCGCACGTTCCTAACCCCAGAAACCACTAAACAGCTCATCCACTCCCTCATCGTATCACGACTCGACTACTGCAACTCCCTCCTCACTGGCCTGCCTCACCGCTGGCTATCCCCGCTTCAGTCGATCCTGAATACGGCTGCCAGACTCATTGACCTTTCCAACCGCTCCGTTTCCGCCACCCCCCCTCTGCCAATCCCTCCACTGGCTTCCGATTGCGCAATGGATCAAATTCAAAATCCTAACATTGTCGTACAAAGCCGTCAACCATACTGCCCCGAACTACATCACTGACCTAATATCCAAGTACCGCCCAGCACGCACACTCCGCTCCTCACAAGACCTCCTTCTCTCTAGTTCCCTGGTCTCCTCCTCCCATGCCCGCCTCCAGGACTTCTCCAAGGTGTCACCCATCCTCTGGAACTCCCTGCCCCAACCCATCAGATTATCACCTACTCTCCTCTCCTTTAGGCGCACCCTGAAAACCCATCTCTTCAGGGAAGCCTACCCCACCCCCCTGCTAACTTGCCGACCTCCTCCACTCTTCCTACCACTCTACCCCCCACAGCCATCTCCTCCTGTGCCACCATCCCCTCCCTCCTAGATTGTAAGCTCCAAAGAGCAGGGCCCTCAATCCCCTCATGTTTTGCATTGTATTGGTATTGTTCTGTCACATGTTCTGTCCCCCTTTGTAATGTACAGCGCTGAGTGAACTATTGGCGCTTTATAAATACTGTATAATAATAATAATACTATTTGTCCATGCACACTATTGTAGGCTAGATACATTTTTCAACCTTCAGCTTTTAAGAGTAGGGGGGGACTTTTTGGGAGCGGTTTGCCAGCAGAAAAAGAAGTTGAACGCTCAATGGTCTTAAAATGCTACTACATTATAAAAGCGTTAATAAACTGCTTACGCTCTTAAATGCTATTACCAGCCTTTTTTTATCCAAGGCTCCAGCGGTGTGTTGTCACGACATTAGGGCTCCTCCTTAACACGGTTCGGCAATAGCACATTATCAAAAGGGGTATGCCTTTTGACAATGTGCTATTGCACGAAACGTGTTAAGGAGGAGCCCTAACGACAGGACGTCACGCCACCGAGGCCGTACGGAGGTCCAGCGGCCATCTTTGATATTGGCTGATAAAGCCACATTGGTTTACGATCTGACCAGTGCAATGGAACAAATTTTTTTAAGATTTTAGTCCTTCTTCTGAACTTTATAAATTGTTTGGAGTGATTGGATATTGATCCACAATAAAATTACATTTTAAAAGTACTACACTATACAATTTTTTTTCATATATGGCTTGGCTTTGAGCCAATTGCTCTTGGAGACCCCCAGAGGAAGCAAAGCTGCACAAGAGACAGGTGTCCGGAAGTAGGATCCTTACCTTCTTGCTGGCTGATCCACTTAAAGGGGACCTCATGGATTTGGATGGTTTACTTCACATATTCTATGTGCTTCTGGTGAGTGCGCATTTTATAAATAGATGCACGGAGTCACATCACAAGGATTTATACTATCTATGAAGTTGGAATTCACTACCTGAGATTGCTGACCTTCTAGAGTCAAGCCTGCACGTTATTTCACGTTTATTAAGACTGCATATTCATATTAATTTTGGGTGCAAACAGCAACGTGTACTTTATTTTAAAGTATTTTATATGTTTTTTAGTATTGCTCATTTTTTAGCGCAGCACTAGTTCATTTATAGCAGTAAAATCTGACAAAGCCTCACTCTTCCCAAAACTAAAGCTTAATTAGAATTCTAGCAAAAATGTGTTAAGAACAGAACTACTCAAATATACCAGCAAGTTCAGTATGATAATGGAGCTGTACCTGTTTATTTCTTCTGCACCCATATGAAAGAGCAGGTCGGTGGATGTGAATCCAATTGCTACACCATTTACAGATATTGTGCAGGGATCTGCCACAAAATGAACTCTCTAAAAGGAAAAACAGATTTGTCAATGTTCATACAGTGTGTATTCCTTATGTCTTCGACATGAAATTAAACTGAAGAGAAAAAAAAACAAAAACAAACAAACAAACAACCCAAAAAACAACAGGAAAATTATCGATACTGATAACGTTCAATGTTCTACACTGTACTACTGTAGTTACCCAACACTACACTCTGCAGAGATGGAGCTTAACCCAGTTCTACAGTTTTGCCAAATGACACAAATGTAACATCCTTTCTTGCAGTTTGTGGTCATGCTTAGTCTAGAAAACTTTTGTTTTAATCTGTGTCAGCCACAATACACCAATGTAAAGGCAGTGAGCTAACATCAGCGACATGTCTACTAATTTCTGAAGTCAATCAAATAGCTTGTTTCACAGCACTTGCAACAGAATGAGAACATCAAATATCAGATAAGCTACTTTGATTTGCAGCACATACGCCATCCCTTCGTATTAACTAAAATTATTGCAATAACTTAAAAAAAGTGTGCATTTATGTGCAATATACATGAGGTTTATATTTCAAAGTCAGGCACACCTCCTCTAAAGCTAAAATACCAGTGAATAAATACACACAAGAACTTACTTGCTTATCTTCTTTAGTTGTTTCATAGCAGCTAAAAGGAGGCTGAGGATAGATGGGATCATGGTGGACATCTCTGATAGATGGGACAAAGACCAAATGAGATCCAGACCTGGTTAAATAGGATAATGACTGTTAACTCTGTTTTGCATAAGTATAGTATAGTTTTGTTTTTTTTGCATGTATGTATATATTATTGTATTTCCATAGTGTGATACTTTTTTTTTTGTCTAATTTGGACTTTTTTTTTTGCAAGGTAACTTACAGACGAGTCCCTTCAATGATCATTTTCAGGCATGATTTGAAGACCTCTTCAAACATCCCTGTCAGCTGCAAGGTCTAAAAAAAGAGCAGATAGTTTGGTTGTAACAAGCAGCTTTCCTCATTCAAACTCCCAAGACTTGTTTGGTATATATAAAATGTACAGACATTCCCTTACAAGTTCTGATACAAGATATCTTTTTCTATATCATTCAGTGGGAAAAATGTTATGATCAAAACTGTCCTCTGCTTTTAACATTGTATGGCAATAGTTAGCTTTACATAAGCATAAACACATACTGTAAATACAATATTAATACATTGCTTTAAATTATATAGTTTCCAGAGATGTGCCTATGATGTTATGTCAATGTTTCCTAAATTTTGCCTAATTTTACGCTGTCTTCACAATTTCTGCAGTGTCTAAGTGCCACCTGTACTTAAAAAATCTACAGGAGTCCAACACTTGCACTGCAGACACTCATCGTGCATTCCCAATTATCCACCGCCGCCTCTGACATTCAGTTATGCAATCTTCACCTCAAGGCAGGAATTCTGAGCCCTACAGTGGTGGTGAGTGCCATTAGTATTACACGATTCACACACTGGCAAATCAAGATGGTAGCGCGACCCACCTCAAAAACCCAAAATGATGCTCAGGTAATGACAGCGAGTGACTGAGTTATCTGTTCTTGCTCATGGAGATTTCTAGCTCGTCATAGGAGAAACAGTATCTGGTCGCTAAACTAAAAATATTGGGCAGATATCCATCTATCCAATGGCAACCTTAGATTCTGACTAGCTCCTACTTACATCTGTGCTAGTCACTCAATTCCCTTTTGCCTTCTATTAACCTCAACTAGTGAATGTTATCCTCTTCCTTTCAGTTGCAATACAGAAAGCCTAAAGAACCCTCAAGTTTTTCTTTTTGGAGGCTCTGTCCCTATACAACCCAAAAACAGGAGTTATACCAACCCTCACACTCACACCAGTTAGTATAGAATGAAGGGGAACATAAAGCCCAGGTTCACATCTGTGCGATTTTTTTTTAGGAATGCAGTGCATGCCATTTATCATGATTTCCTATGGAACACGTTCACATCTATTCATTTTTTGAAAGGGTCAGGGACTTCTTTTCCCGCAGCAGTTTGTGTTTTAGTTCAATAGACTTCAATGGAACCGCATTTAAAATGCAAATGCTGCATTTTTTACGTGTTTTTGATGCGTTTTGAATCTGCCCAATAAGAATTTGGCAAAAAAACCCTAAATAAATAAATATGCAAAATGCATCAAAAACGCATGTGCAAAAAACACAAAACGCACCGCAAAAAGCACTGCAGGAACGCAACAAACTGCATGGGTGTGAAAGTAGCTGACGTGCATATGGTAATGTGCAAAGTGCAGTAACCCACAGCAACTCAAAACATTTTTACTTAAGGTTAGTACATGGGGAATGTTACATGATTCTGCATACTATATTCCAGTGCTACCCAGGTTATTATGAAGGGGACTTAAGCAGAAAAAGTATATTAGTTAATTTACCTCAATCTGCTCGTGCTTTGCATCCAAAAATGGACCAAGCTAAAAAATATATATATATATTAATACAGCATACAATTCCACATAGAAAAATCATGTATATCTGGTAGGTGTACTTATTTTTCTAACTGCATGATCTAACCAGTATGCAAACATCAGGTCGGTCTCTGTTAATCACATCAACCAGATCCTTAAGAGCATCGTAAGCAATCGTATCTGAGGTGGTGAAAAGGGCCACAGGCTGCGATTATCATCTGAGGTTGACACTCTGCAAGAAAAAAAAAATACATTTAAAGTAGAAAAAAAAACCACTTAGAACATCTCACAGGGAATGCATAGAAGGATAGTTTTTATTTGTTCAGCCAGCTGGCTGATCAAAAAAACTAAAAGCACCAGACGACGAATGGATTCCTCCATCAACTTGCTTTTCCTCCAGCAAAATTGGTAGAGGAATCCTCCCTGTTAAGACATTGTATTCTGACAGCAGGGACTTTCTGCTGTTACAGTACACTGTTCAGCAGCTACAGCCCAAGCAGCAACAGCCAGTCAGACAGGGATTGAAATTTGGCCGGTCCCTAATAAACCGGACGATTATTTTCGATCCATCTACGGCCAGCTTTATTGTCACATTTCGTCCTACTTTAATTTATATATATCTCCAAGCAAAGGATTGTCACTGCAATTCAGCTATTTGGTTTTTCTTTCACATTGGAAACATGATTGTATAGAATCTTTCTGGAATAGCAATCACTGTGTCAAGCAAATATGGAAGTGCAAAACTAGTAAAGCAGACAATCTTACCATTTCCAGCCGGAACACAGAGGAAACCTGAATAAAAGCATATCCACTGGATACAAACCTTTTGAATTATGTGGCATCAGTAAATCATATTTGTTGCAGATAATCATTAAGATGACACCTGTACAAGTAAGATCTTGAAGATCTATTCTCATACCAGGTGTTTGACTTGCAGGGATAAGAGAAAAAGGTCAGTCATCTCTATCTAAAAGGTGGTTGTTGCCCAGGGCTCTTTTGTTCTGCAGTGACCTTTATAACCCTCTACTATACACTGTGTGCACAATTATTAGGCAAATTAGTTTTTTGACCAAATCATCATTTTAATGCATATTGTCCAACTCCAAGCTGTATAAAAACTTGAATGCTTATTGGATTTAAGCATATCAGGTGATGTGTATTTGTGTAATGAGGGAGGGTGTGGCCTAAGGAGATCAACACCCTATATAAAAAGGTGTGCATAATTATTAGGCAGATTTTTTTTCCTCAGGCAAAATGGGCCAAAACGAGAGATTTTGACTGACTCTGGAAAGTCAAAAATTGTACAAAGTCTCAGAGGGTTGCAGCACTTGGTCAATTGCAATATGATATTTGGGCGTGATCACAGAACCATCAAACGTTTTGTTGGAAATAGTCAACAAGGTCGCAAGAAACATGTTGAGAGAAAAGTGCTGTCATATTCCAGAACTGCAACCTACCCAGAGTGCCCAGAAGTACAAAGTGAAGTAAAAGTCTGAAGGCAGACTTTTCAAAAGTTTTATGGACTATTAAGACGAGAGTGACTCTTGACTGACCAGATTGATGGGCCTGTGTCTGGATCAGTGACGGGCACAGAGCTCCACTTTGACTCTCAGACGCCAGCAAGGTGGAAGTGGGGTTCTGGCATGGGCTGGCATTATTACCAGAACCCCACCTCCACCTTGCTGGCGTCTGAGTCAAAGTGGGGCTCTGTGCCCGTTACTGATCCAGCCACAGGCCCATTCATCTGGTCAGTCAAGAGTCACTCTCGTCTCATCAGTCCATAAAACCTTTTAAAAGTCTGCCTTCAGACTTTTACTTCACTTTGTACTTCTGGGCACTCAGATATTTCAGATATTTCTTGGCCCAGCCTTGACGTTTTAAATTATGTGTCTTGTTCAGGGGTGGGGTCGGGTTTTAGCCTGCCTTAACTTGGCCATGTCTTTAAGCATTGAACACCTTGTACTTCTGGGCACTCAAGGTAGGTTGCAGTTCTGGAATAGGACAGCACTGGAGAATAATGGGTACCCGTTAGCTTCAAGTTTGATTCTTCTCAAATCTTTGGCAATTAATGTGCATCTTTTTTTCTCTTAACACATTTCTTGTGACCCTGTTGACTATTTGCAACAAAATGTTTGATGGTTCTGTGATCAAGTCCAAATATTGTAGCAATTTTAAGAGTGCTGCATCCCTCTGAAAGGTTTTTATACCATTTATGACTTTTCAGAGTCAGTTAATTCTCTTTTTTAGCCCATTTTGCCTGAGGAAAATAAGCTGCCTAATAATTATGCACACCTTGATATAGGATGTTGATCTCCTTAGGCCACACCCTCCCTCATTAAACAAATACACTAAGCATTCACGTTTATACAGCTTAGAGTAGGAAAATATGCACAAAAATAATTTGGTCAAAAAATGCACTTGACTAATAATTGTGCACACAATGTACATTTCTGCTAATGTTATAGCGAAAACATCCATGGCCAGACATTCTGTACCTGAGTGAATGTGCTGGTTATCTAACACCGTGTTTCTCAACCTTTTTTCAGTCAAGGCACCCTTTAAAATTATGGATAATCTTAAGGCACCCTTTAAGATTCTGCACAATCTCAAGACACCCCAATCTAAAATGTAAAAACCTATTCACACATCCAGTACACCCAATGTTAGAGGCGATTTATTCTTCCAAAGCAAATACACCTTTGCACACTGCTACTGACTAATATTCCATTATGTGTCTCTCATTTTCTCTCCCTTACTCTGCTAATGTGACCCCAGTGCTGATGGAGAGGGGCAGGGGAAGGCCAAATAAGGATGATGTGCATGCACCCGACGTCCACCTTATCAAGTGATGTCACTGGTTGTTGTTAGGATGATGGCAGCTAGGAGGTTATAAAAGTGCACAATAAAAACTTGTGGCTCTGTACTAAAAGGCAGGATTGATCCACCTGCTGGCTTGTATACAATTGTTGGGCATTTTGCCAAGGCATCCCTGAAAAAAGCCTGAAGGCACCCTGGTTGAGAAAGGCTAATCTAACAGAATGTTAATATGAAATCAGAAAAGAAGGGAACCTTTACTTTTTCAGCCCACAATAAAAAAATAAATGAATTAAATCACACACTGTACATGCATTTTATAATTATTTTATTTTAATCTATTGCACAATTCTGTATATACAACCTTTTCTAAGCCTAATGTCATGAGAAGAGGGTTTAAACCCTCAAATTTTTCTTCAGGCTGGCCTGCATGTACAGCATGAGTTGCAGGGCACATAATGGGACGTTATGATCACAGAATATCCAAAACCCTTCTCCTACATTTAGCAGCACCCTACCTGTACAATAAAGGCTGACAAACCAGAAACATTTTAAAGTGTAGAAGAGATTAGAAAGATAATGCAAAGATTTTTTTTTTTTAATTGGGGCAAAATGGACAGAAATGGGAGGAGTTGAGTATTGCAGTAATCAATTTTTATGCCACCATGATTTAAGTTGATCTCAGAACTAGGGGCGGACTGACAACTCATGGGGCCCCCGGGCAATAGGGGATCATGGGGCCCCTGTGTCCTTGCCCACACTCAAAAAAGCCTATAAAAAAAAAAAGGTACCAGGGGCATCTCATGGGGCCCTCTACTGACCCCGGGCCCTCGGGCAGTGCCCGAGTTTCCAAATGGTCAGTCCGCCCCTGCTCAGAACAGATATTACATTTACCTTTACATTAAAATTACCTTTACAAACAAGTTTGATAAAAATCTGTGTTTGTTAGAATCTTCCCCTCGAACAGTGGATGCCCATACCTTCCAGGGGGAATTGAACACCATGTTTCTAAGCAGGAATTTTCACTAACTTTAATTAACAGAGAGGGGAAGGATGTTATCATAGGGGCAATAGCAACAATTGGGACTGGTTTTCTATCCTACCCAGTTTCTCACAAAAGCAGTCAGCTGACATGTCATGTAGAGAAATCATAGATAAGATACTGCTGCAGCCATTTACTGTTTTATCAATTCCATGGCTAGCTTTAGTCACTTCCTGCTTTCATTATTCATTATCTGTATCTTGGTTATGTTATGTCTTAAATAGTTTCATTTTACTCCTGTTTTTCTGTGTAGCTGTATTAGTTGATGATTTTATCAGAACACATTTATACCAAGTTTTTATCAACACCATTGTTATTATCAAACAAAGCTTATAAAAGAAACATTGGAGCTGTCGTTTGCAGCTTATTTTTTTTGTTGCAACCCTAATCTAATTATTCTGGCTGATTTACAAGAGTTTGCCTTCTGGCACACATAAATTACGCTTCACATTTGTTTACAGACATATGGCATTTCTAATAGCTGCTGTAATTAGGCACATCCACTGTCATCTAGAGACCACTGAGTGCCTTTCCAGCTTTTTTATATGACAGATTACTATGATTTGGTGAACTCCTGATACACATTAATGGAATCTTTGCCTACAAAAGCTGGTCTGTCTTCATCCCAAAGGATCACCAGGAAGAAAACGTTTCAGCTCTTCGCAGTAGATTGTGCTACTTCAAAGTAGAATTCCACATAATCTATTAAATGCGATTTGTGAACTGCCGCATTTAACAAAAATTTCAGTTTACAGAATATTTAAATACACTGCTTAAAAAAATGAAAGGAACACTTTTTAATCAGAGTATAGCATCAAGTCAATTAAACTTTTGGGATATTCTTTTGGTGGTATTTAATCACCGAGTTTTTTTTATATTTTGCTAAATAAAACAAAAACACCTGAAACTTTTTGGGGAAATAAATAACATTTCTTAATAAATTTACATCAAAATGTATTCTGCTACATTTCTTTTCTGAAAATACCCCAAATTAGTACATATTATGTAGGAAGTCCACAAACCATGGTATATATATCTGACAAATTGGTCAATGTACTGACGGCTAAACTCATTTCTTGAGGCCCGAAAATGCCAGCATAGTACAAATACCCCTCAAATTACCCATTTTTTGAAAACAGAGAGTCCAAGGTATTTAGTAAGGGGCATGGTGAGTTTTTTGGAGGTTGTAATTTGTTACAATTTTTTGTAAAATGTAGAAATTAAAAACCAAAACAAAAAAAAACCCTTTTTTTTTTTTGAACATATTGTCACCAGTCCAGTGCAGCGTGATTACATAACTGGCGTGGTGGTGATCATGGATACTGACTGGTGACCGTATGTAAAAAAAAAATTTAAATAATAGTTTACTTTTTTTT